TGTCTCTCGGGTGTGGAGGGACTTTGCCGCCTGCCTAGGAGCTAAGGTTGCTTTAACATCTGGGTTTCATCCACAGTCTAACGGACAATGCGAGAGACTAATGGGCCATTCCCATCTGTACCGGGTCGGGTAGCCCCAGTCGGCCCCAGCCTGGCCCGGTTGATTCCACACATCCTTGTCTTAAGCCCATGTGGGCTGATTCTACCCACCAATCAGAGGCCTGCTCTAATGGAAGGTGTGAATTTGCTGTCAGCAGTGGGTGTGTTGGCCCTGGTCGGCCTGAAGCAGACCCCCTCGAGAAGAGGGCTGAGAATGAGCCTTGGTTGGCCCGGAAAAATACCAGGCCACCCAGATATGTAAACAACCTACGCTACCCGGCCCGGGCCGACCCGGTACAGATGGGAATGGCCCATACATCAGGAGGTGGTTATGCTCCGTTGTATGTGTTCCTCTAGCCCTTCCAGTTGGAGTACCCACCTTCCGTGGATTGAATACGCCCATAACGCCCATGTCTCCTCCACCACCGGACTATCCCCCTTCGAGGCCTCGACAGGTATTCAACCCAGTTTATTCCCCTCTAAGTTTCCCTCCACAGCTTTCTCCGTCTCTCGGTTGCTCAGGGGGGTCCGACGGGTTTGGGTAGTCACACAACGGGCTCTCCAGAGGACCGCCGAACGCAACCGGCGTCTGGCCGACCGGCACCGCCATCCTGCCCCAGACTATGCGCCTGAACAGTGCGTCTGGCTCTCTACCAGGGACATCAGATTAAAGGACCACTGCAAGAAGCTTTACCCCACGTTCATCGGTCCCTACGCCATCTCTGCTGTCATCGACCCGTCCACCGTCCGCTTGGATCTGCCACCCCACATGAAAATACACCCCGTTTTTCATATCTCCCTCCTTAAGCCCGTCATCTCCAGCTCCCTGTGCCCTCCTGCCTCTGAACACGTCAAGTGGTCTCTCTATTTCTATTCTTACAGAGGCTATATTGTTTGCTCCAAGCAGACATTGCGACTCTTCCCTAACTGACTGTGGATCATTTAATGGTCAGCTGACTGCATCAGTGACTAATCTTGGTGTTAAACTGGATAGTGCCCTTAATTTTGACACCCGCATCAATGGAGTGATCTCCTCCTCCTTTTTCCACCTTCGTCGGCTGGCAAAGATCAAACCTTTCTAGTCACGACATGATCTTGAGACGGTAGTCCATGCTTTTATCACGGTGTGATTGGACTACTGTGACTCTGTTTTATTCGCTGTGAGCAAGGGCACAATAGCCAGGTTGCAAATGGTGCAGAATGCTGCTGCCAGATTTTTAGAGGGCAGGCGCAAGTATGACCCAAGCCCCCACAATGCGGGTGAAAAATTGAGGCCAACGCTGAAGTGACAAAAATTGCAGTTCCACTCTCATCCACTAGGGGCTGGTGTCAGAAGCGAGCAAATCCTCATTGACTCCCATGTTAAAAATACCAATTTCACAGCAGAAATAAACATGTTTACAGCCTGGTACCAGAACATGTTTTAGGTTTAAATGATCTAGTTTACACTCATGACAACTCTGAGGGGGTGAATGTTTTTCTCACTCTTCTGTTTAAGTGTATTAAAAGCCTAAAATTCTGTATAATTAATGAGCATCAGACCCACGTGACCACAGAGCTAGCTCCGTGGAAAGGCCTCAGTAGAGCCTCGGTCTGGCCTGGAAACTGCTCCGGGATTTTGAGTCTCTGTGTGTGTGTATTCTTGTTTGGATATTATTTGTGCAATTGTTGGACAAAATGACTTGCTGTGGCATTAATTGCACTAATAGAGCGTCCAAGGAGTCTCCACTTCATTTTTTTCGGTAAGTAAAATTATATTTATGTATTTTAGGTCACTGCCGAGCTGAGCTTAGATTTTAACATGTACTGTTTAACCATGAAATGTAAATGTAATAGGGTAAAACCCAGTGCATTTAACATAATGCTGCACTTTAGAAAATGGGTTGAAATATAACATGTTGGTGGAGCTGGGTTCCCACTATCGGCTTGTGGAGCTCTCGGGAGACCGATGTTTTCCACCTGGTTCTCCCCTCCCCGCAGCTCGGCGCATCTCTGTCTGATTGCGGCTTCTGTCTGCTGCGCGGGCTGCCGGCTTGTGGTACTCCCCTCCCGACACCTCGGCGCATCTCTATCTGATCGCGGCTTCTGTCTGCTGCGTGGGCTGCTGGCTTGTGGTACTCCCCTCCCCGCAGCTCGGCGCATCTCTGTCTGATCGCGGCTCCTGACTGCTGCGCGGGCTGCCGGCTTGTGGAGCTCTCGGAGACCTCTGTGTTCCACCCGGTTTTACCCAGCGGTCAGCCCGGCGTATCTCTGACTCAGAAGCTCTGGTGTTGTGCACAGTTAACTCCGGTTGTAGCTAGGTTGCTACCTCCGTTAACTTAGCTCCCACCGCCGCGTAAACTTTGGGTTAGCTTCAGGTTAGCTTGTAGCTAGTTTGACTGGATGTCGTCAGTTGATCCCAGCCTTACAGCCCACCCTCAGCTCCACCTCTCTTCCCTTTTGTGGAATTGTCTGGGCTTGACGGAACCTGTGACACGGTCAAAATGGCGGTGGTGGCCACCTCCCATTTATCTTCAAGAATGTGTTATTGGAGTCTATGGAAACCCATTGTCCAATATTTATATGTTGATGGTATGACCCATTACTCCTGTCCTGGCTGTGCTTCATTGGCTGCCCATTGATGTAAGGATTCGTTTTTAATACTTTTGCTGGTTTTTAAAAAATGGTCTGGCCCCTCCTTACTTGGTGTCACTGCTTCAACCGCACACCCCTGCACGGTCACTCCTCTCGGCGAACCTCATGCTCCTGTCGGTCCCAAGATCGCGTCTAAAGACACGTGGTGATAGGGCCTTTAATGTGGCAGGTCCTAAGCTTTGGAGCGAGCTTCCTCTCAGCATAAGGGCCTCCACTTCTGTTGCGGTTTTTAAGGCAAGGCTAAAAACCTACTTTTATGATCTGAATTTGAACCTTTCCAACTAGTTTTTATTGTTTTACTTATAGCGATTTGTGCACTCACTGTATTTTTATCTGTATCTTGTGAAACAATGTTTTTATTTTCTGGATTTAATGTTTTATGTTTTTACTTGATCTGTGTAGCGCCTTGGTGGCATGTTTTTGCCTGTAAGGCGCGATTTATAAATAAAGTTGAGTTGAGTTATTTTAGACATCCGGGGTTTTCCCCTGTGTTACGGAGGAAGCAGTGAGCACAGGGGAGAGGGAGTGGGGATACCGGTACTGGAGCTGGGCCCAGCTGACAGAGCTGTACATTTTTGTTATTTTCACGTTTTTTTCACTTACATAGATTTTCTACTACAGCTGATGTTAAATGTGGGCATCTGTCTCTGCCGCGAATGTTCTTGTCTCTCTTGTTTCTCCGCAGGATTGTGTGTGTGTGTGTGCATGCATGTGTGTGTTTAACCAGTTTGCCATGCTTGTTGATATCAGAAACTGCGATGATCCTGCTGCTGTGTATTTGTTCGTATTCACATTTATTAAATCCATCTTTTGATGTAAAAACAGCATTTAAAATCATGGAAACACTGTTTCTCCGCAGGAGTGTGTGTGTTTGTTCATTTTCATCTCTCTAGTCTGTTTAGATGCACAAAAATGATCACATTTATCAATCGCTGTTTTACTTTGAACATTTTCTTTTATTTTGTTAAATTTACCGGCCTGCCTCTTCTGCTTTGGCTCATTAAAAAATTAGATCTCATACTGAAACTATCGCTGCACGGTGCTTCACAGCCTTCGCGGCGCTTGGCAGCTGATGTGACCAAGAGCGTAAGTTAATAAGAGCGCCGATTAGAAGCGCCCGTTGTTCCACGGCGCATCGCGCCGCATCGTCGCGCTTCCGCGTCTGGTGCGTTCCGGACGTAAGGCACAACTGTACATTATCCATGCTGTCTAATCAGCCCCTTGATATGCCACACCTGTGAGGTGGGATGGATTATCTTGGTAAAGGATAAGTGCTCACTAACACACATGTAGTCAGATTTCAGAACATTATCTGAGAATCATGGGTCTTTTGTGTATGTAGACACATTTTCAGATGTTTGAGTTCAGCTCATGAAAAATGGGAGCAAAAACAAAAATGTTGCGTTTATATTTTTGTTCATTGTATGTTCCAATGCTCACCTATGGTCACGAGCTTTGGGTAGTGACCGAAAGAATGAGATCATGGATAGAAGCGGCCAATTAGATTTCTTCGTAGGGTGGTTGGGCTCTCCCTTAGGGAAACGGTGGGGGTGAGAAGCTCAGGCATCCGGGAGGGGCTTGAAATAGATCTGCAGCTCCTCCACATGGAGAGGAGCCAGTTGAGGTGGCTCAGGCATTTGGTCAGGATGCCTCCTGGATGCCTCCCTGGTGAGGTTTTCCGGGCACGTCCAACTGGAAGGAGACCCAAAGGAAGACCCAAGACATGTTGGAGAGACTACGTCTCTCACCTGGCCAGGGAACACCTTGGGATTCTCCTGGAAGAGCTGGATCAAGTGGTTGTGGAGGGAAGGCTGGGCCTCTCAGCTTAGGCTACTCCCCTTGCAACTTGACGCCAGATAAGCGGACGATAATGGATGGATGGACAGTTCTTAACCCAGTTGTAGTCATTTCTGCAATCTCCTTGGATATTGTTGCTGCTTTGTGCATGCCAATGATCTGACCCTTCTCAAACAGACTAACAGCTTTTCCACAAACCATCAGATGTGTCTTTCCACGAGGTTGTTCAAAAAATGAGAAGCAACTTATTGCACCAGTAGGGGTTAAATAGCTTGTTGCCAGCTGAAAGGTAATTGCCCATGCAGTAATTATCCAATAGCAGGCTCATACATATTTGTTTAGTTAAATCCAGGTGCGGACTTTTGTTTTGGGCCAGGCAGTGTACCATTATCATCAGGTCAAACAAGAAACAATTAAGAGTAGAAAACCAGTTTCCCTCTAGCTTTATGCATTATAGTAATAATAACCTACTAGTGTAGAGGCTCGCCTCCGCGTCTCTCTCTGATGCTGCTGCAGTAGGCTGCTGAGCTGGTCTCTGAGCTTCATCAGAGCTTGGTTTGTTGAGAGGCCCAGTGTCACCCCATTCTCCTGCAAAAACATAGAAAACTTTCAGTAGATGCACTTGGTTTAAATAAAGCCAAAGGTCATTAATTATTTAGCAATTACATTTGATAGTTAATTATGATACATGTAGGGATTGGTGAAATGTCAGGTGGAGGCTTTAGGTTATGAGAACCTTTGGGCAAGGACGCTCTGATCAGATAACGTGATCAGAAATTGGGAACCATCACCAGAAATGGGTGAAAAAGTTCAGATTTAACCACGTATGGCAAAATTACCTTTTAAATTCATCCTGAGTTTTAGATTTTCAAATTATAAGAAACAAAGAAACAAACAAAGAAGCAAAAGAAAGAAAGAAAGAAACAAAGAAAAGAAACTAAGATAAAGAAACTAAGAAAGAAAGAAACAAAGAAAAAGAAACTAAGAAAGAAAGAAGGAAAGAAAACGATCTTAAATTTAGCGCTTCTCAAGATAAAAATAATGAGAGCTTCACATAAACAAAAAACAATGAAAGTACAAAAAAGATGAAAAAATAAACAATCAAAAGGTAAACAACTATTTCTTTGTTTTCTTTTAACAAGTTCCTCTACATTAGAGCTGCACAATATATCAAAAAATTATCGTCATCGCGATAACAGGACGTGCGATAGGCCCATCGCAAAGCACGTCAAAAACGGCGATAAATGTTTGGTTCAAACATTTCCATCCGTGTCATACATCACCTTTTTGTAAACCAGCTCTGTTTTTTACGTGGAAGTATTATTTGACCAATCAAATGTAGCCCTTCTGAGATAGGTCCGTTCACGTAATTCGCCCGCCCCCTACGTAGACCCTTAGGATGGAAAGCGCAACACCCAAACTGAGATAGCGGCGCCGTTCCCTTGTTCGTCATGCTGGCTCAGAGCAACGAACGCACTTTGTGCTGAGGTTTCTGGATTCGGCGCTGCTTTCAAACGAGAACGTGAGTCCGCTCGGTGTCGTTAAGCAGCTGATAATAACCGGGCTGACTCCGACACGTGCCGGTGAACCAACCCACCTCCCTCCATGTCGCTAGTGTTACACCGGGTGATGGTGTTAGCCCCAGGCTCCGGTTAGCTTCCAGCTGAAAGGCTACAGCACTCTCCTCCCAGTCCCACCCTGCTAAAGAGGGCCTGGAAAAGTTCCCCCACACATCAAAGTGATTTTTCCTTTATGAGCTTTTATAACCTTGTTAATCAGGATAGTTGATTTACTGCTGCACATAAACTGTCAGTCAGAAGCTCTGCTAGCCGGTTATCTTAGAGGAGCTAGTTCAGTTTGTTAGCTTGTTATCAGAATCATAGTTGCAGTTTCATCATCTGAGCTGCTTTTTAAGATCTAGGTAAACTTGTTCAATTTGGGGTTAAAAACAAACGTTTTCACATATTTTCCATGTAGATTTTTTGCCAGTTCCTCTTCTGAAAGGTAGACAATTGTTTTTCTCTTTCCCTCAGAAAATCTTAATATTCTCCTAGTTTGGCCCAGCACAGTTCACTTCCCAGTTACAGCAACAGCCTTATATCATAACCACATAAGTGGAGAAAATGCTCAGCAGAGGTGGAAAGAGTACTAAAATTTCCTACTTAAGTATGAGTACCAGTACTTTGATAATTTTTTTACTCAAGTACAAGTAAAAGTACTTGCCTAATTTTTTACTCAAGTAAAAGTAAAAAGTATCGTAAATAAAATGTACTCAAAGTAAAAGTTACTTAGTTACAATTTTGTCAGCGTAAAGATGGTTACATCAGTGCAAAACCACAACACCAGTTCACAACAAGCTCGTGTGTGCACGCACACACACGGACACACACACAGTTTGATGGAAGGATTGCTATCCAATCAGTGAGAACAGGACGTGCACATTGATTGGACGAGGTTTTTCTAGGATTGTACATTTCAATTGTGATTAAAATTATTCTTTTGTTTTTGAAAAAAAATGTTGATTTTTAGATGCCATCAGCATGTGAGGTATCTCAATGTTCTCATGACAAAACTCTAACATGAGACTGTGCTCTAACCTGTCACATAACAAGCTTAAAGAAAGTCAAACATCTCAGATGGACCTAGATGGATTTATAGACGTAGGTTATTATTTTAGATCAGACCTGTTATTTAAAAATGCGTGTAGGACACGGGCACATGGCTCAGACCTTTTGCTGCAGCTGTAAACGCAATTTTACGTAATAATTAGGAGCATGAAAGTAAACAAATAACAGTGATTCACAACACTAGCATCTGCAGCTAGCTTGTTTTACGTGCTGGAGGGACGTATGTGAAACACAGTTCTTCACTGTCGGGAGGAGAGGATAAAGGATAAAATAAAGAAACAAGCTAAATCATCACGGAACCGAACCCTTCACCACTGAAACCAGTTTGTTCATCCCAATCCTCCTAAATAATCCTCCAATCATCCAACTGGAACCCTTAAGGGTCCCGTAACGTCCATCCTGTCAGAACAGGCCTTGGGAGCCCAGGTGTTACTAGAACTAATGGTGTCTCCTCACCAGCGTGAGCCTCCACACTGGGAAGGTTGGTCTCCAAACATGAACTTTAAATTCATGCATTCATCTCCTCTTGTAGCACTTTAACATGTTTTAAAAGGCTTGTATCATGATAAGTTACACCTCCCAGACCAAAGATAGGTACAATATAAGATAAAACATTATCATAAACACTGCAGAGACGTCATTATTTATGAAATATGTTATTTTCCTGAGCCGTTACTTCAGCCAAGATATAGGATGCATGGATTTGATGAAACCCCGCTGTCTCATGCAGTCCTATATGTGTAACACACACACACACACACACACACACACACACACACACACACACACACACACACACACACACACCATGACTAATTTAACTACACTGAACTGCTTTAGTAATAATTTAATCTCTTATTCTGGAGTAAAATAAAGAAACAAGCTAAATCATCACATTTCTGTGGCATCAAGAAGCATCTTCTGAGTTCAGACACAGGGATGGAGCACAATGTTTACACCTGAACAGTATCAGGATTAACTCACAGAGGCCTGCAGGTCTTCTGTTTTATGAGCAAAGTGCTGAGAATCCGCTTGTTATGAGTGCTCAACGTTATTTTGCAGCTTCCGTGCGGAGCGGTAGAGAAACACAATTCAAACATCTGGCTCCCGAACCGAGCAGAATTCTGATGACGTAACACCGGTGCGCAAAGGTGTGGGTTCCAACCCATAGGAGAGGAGGGAGAGGCGGTAAACAGCGGTGCTCATGCAGGTGTCTCTTTCTGTTCCGACGCTGCTTCACGTAATATTTTTAATTTATTAAGCCTACAATTTATTTTACTCAGTAACGGATATGATTTAAAATGTAGCGAATTACAATTCTTTTTTAAAAACTTACTCAAGTAAAAGTAAAAGTACAGATTTTAAAAATGACTTAAAAAGCATAAATAAACAAAAAAGCTACTCAATTACAGTAACGTGAGTAAATGTAATTCCTGCCAGAGGACATTTTAGGTCTTGTTGTTGACCTACAAGGCTGTCCACAACCTGGCTCCACCCAACACCACTGATCTCCTAGACCCACATGTTCCATCTAGGCACTGCGATCACATGGCATGGGGCTCGTACGCATCCTGGAAATAAAGCGGATAACTGTGGGTGGGCGTGTACTGGTTTTTCGTGCTCCGTCGCTCTGTAATGCTCTGCTACAGGATGTCAGACAAGCTTGCTCAGTTAAAGCAAAACTGAAAATGTACTTTGTTACTAAAGCTTTAACTGCTTGATCACTCAGTTATTTTTAGGCATTTTACTTAATTTCCTGTTTCAGCTTGTTCTTATTTTAACTTGATTTTATTGCTTATGTGTACTCCATTTGCTTTTAGTAGATGCTGCTGTTTTTATATTGGGGGCTTTCTTTTATGCTATGCTGCACTTTGTTTAAAGCTGCTAGATAAAATTATTTTTATTATATAATAATTATTATTATTACTGTTAATATTAATGTTATTGTTACTGTTATTTGTATTATTAATATTATTATTGTTGTTGTTGTTATTATATCATATAGAAAACACACGGAGTGATATTTGAGAAGTGAAACAAACATTATAGGATTTACAGAAAGTGTGCAATAATTGCTGAAACAAAATTAGGCAGGTGCATACATTTGGGCACCACAAAAATATGTAGTATCAACTGCCTCTAAACCAGGTGTGTCAAATATGCGGCCCGCGGGCCGGATCCGGCCCGCAAGCGGGTTAAATCCGGCCCGCGAGATGGTTGTGTAAACTTTATTTTCATACTTTACAATGTAGAGTGAAAATAAACGTATCTTTGTGAGCAAGTTTTCTCTGTAATGAGTATGAATAAAACAAAGCTGCGCTCAAGGCTCACACAAGAACTTGAATCACATCCTGAAGTTGGCCGCCACTCAGGATGTGACTTCTGATATTGATGTGCCGGTGAAAGCTAAACGATGTAAAGTAAAATGAGTCAAATATACTTTAAGTGCTGCATGAAACTGGTCTAGCCATGTGATCTGTAAGCTCTTTGAATACCTAAGGAATGTTTTATTATGTATTGATTTTTTTATTTTTTTCAAATTTTCAAGTACACTTCAGGTGTTGTACTTGTACTACGCTGTCCTCAGGCTCCAGCCTTGTTTTATATTGATTGTATTAAAACAAAGAAAACAATCTGAAGTTGTTTTTTTATTTACCGGTCCGGCCCACTTGGGACTAGATTTCCCTCAATATGGCCCCTGAGCTAAAATGAGTTTGACACCCCTGGTCTAAACATTTCCTATGGCTTCAAATGAGAGTCTGGATTCTGGTTGAATGTATTTTAGACTATTATTGTTTTTAAAACATCTCTAGCTCATTCATGTTTGATGGTTTCCAAACAGACAGCTTTCTGGATCCTTCCCGTAAACCATGATGGTGAACCATCTTGGTATTCAGAAGTCCCTCAGATTTATATGTGAACACTACACCGCCCCTTTGAGACCGGACTCACACCATCCAGCCCCACCAAACCCCAACCGTGCCGACGCTAATGTGTAAGCGCCACTATTGGCTGAGCAGTTGCTAGGCGATTGCACTCCCACGTTAGGAGAGAGAGCTGAAAAAATCCGTGAAAGCAGGGAACAGCCATGTGGGTGCAGTTTTGATCCGAGCGGAGAAAAAGTTTTCACGTGAGAAGACAATTCCAGTGTAAGAAGGTTAAATCTGAGTGCAGAAACAAAGATTCGAAGGAGAACAGAGTATATCTGAAAGAGAGCAGACATTTTGAGTGCAAGCGTTACACGTTGAGAGCAAAGATATGAAATCTTGCTCTCAAATGAAAAAAAGCTCGATATTTGTATTTGTCAGGCAGACAGCTGAGGACCAGATGTGTTCACAGCTAAGGTGACCCGATAGCACCTGGATAAAACATAGTGCTTTCTGTTGTCACCAGAGTCTGAACAATAAAGTAAAAGACACCCATCTACGTCTAGTTAGCTGGACTCCCGGCGCAGTGGAGTGAATCTGCGTCTCGGTACACGCTCCGGACTCAGGGTCACATTCAGTCGGGGATATTCACATCGGTACGACACCTGTTGACACAACCTGAAAAATCAAAGTTTTTCCATTTCTTATGTTTTATCCCAGACTAAAACAGAAAATACGAAAAAAAAAAAAAAGATTTGTTATTTTTGAATCTGCTTATAAAACAAATAGCAAAAAAAAAAAAAGTTTTATTTTTTATTTTTAATCGAAGATAGACAGAACGAATGGCACGGACTGACCTCGTTCATAACCTGGAGAAGGCGTTCTACCCTTTTCCTTTTTTTCTTTTTGATTCGATTCATTTCCTGATCGCTAAAGGCCTTCGCTGCCAGCTTTTCCCGCCATTTTACTGTTTTTTAAGAGTGACAGAAGGTTGCGCACTAGGTTGATGTCAACGCCAACACTACCAAAACAAAGAGTAGACTCACCTCTTACATCAGGAACAATCCACGCATTTCTCGAGCGTTATCCGTTCTTTCGTAATCCGTTGTTGAATTGTGATCGGCAGAAGCTTTCCGGTTCGTGGAACACTTTTTTTACAGCAGCGGCCAATAACGATCTCCTAACACATGGACTTTCTGCTTCCTGGTCACATGACGTGTGACGTACATGGAGGAAGATCGCCTTTAGAGCTGGGGTGTGTTCTCATGGTGCGGGGGCTTGTTCCGACGCCCACACAGTAAAAAATGCAAATGACGACTTTAGTCGTCAATGGCAGTGAACGAGTTAAGAAAACCAGTTTAACTTTCGGTTCTACCCGACTGCTGCTATAATTGTTGTTTAAACGTTCCTCCTTCTTCAGATAATGGCATTTAGAGCAGACATGTAGCCACCCAGGCACATCGCTGCCCCAGTCAGGTCAGGGGAGTAAATTCTAACACCCCATGGCGACTTGTGCATTTTTCACATCAACACGTCACTTCATAAAATTACCCACATTTGGCCAGTGGTGGGTGCTAATGTACATCACTAACAGTGAGGTGCCTTCAAGCTCACCTTATTTTTATCAAGTGTCTCCATGGCAATCTGGACCACTCCACATGTTCTGTCCCGTAAGTCGTCACCTGGCAGAGGCCAGTCAGTACCGTCACAGAAGGTCCAAATGTAGACGATGAAAGAACTTCTGACTCTCAGCTGGATTCTTCTCAATTAACAGCCTGAAGAAGCATCAAATCAAGGGATCAGACACACACTGAGGAGCCAGGAGGGTGCAAAGGTGATCCCACACCTGGCAACGCCCCCTTCTGCAGGTATGACAGTGAACACATCTGCAGAGAGAACTCTATGAGGGTCCTGATGGAACAGTTATTTGTTGTTCAGATGATCCTCCATGTAGAGACCTAAGGATGAGAAGTAAGACCAGTGAGACAGGAATTGCCCAGGTCATTCATTACTAGAATCCTGAGAGATATTTGGGAGGTGTTAGCACATGCTGCTGCAACAGACCTGGACCCAGAAATTACAGAAACCAGGGACACTCAATTCAGCATCTTTGTGAGTCACAACAAGCCCAGTAGATAACTGGACCTACTACTTACCGCTGATTGAGGAGCTTACTACGTCCAGAGGAACCGAAGGATAAGGAATTCAAAGACTTAATGCAGATGCTGCAAGCTTATTTTAGCCCAAAACTAAGCTAGATTCTTCAAAGGTTACATTTGAGCTAATCCCACCCAGAAAGATGGTAAACTGTGGCAGATTATGCAGCTGAGTTAAGGAGGCTGGCAGACCTGAGTGCTGGGAGATTTTACCACAAATGCTGACAGACAGGCTGGTGTTGGGAGGAAATATGACAGGGTGCAGAGGCGGTTGTAGCAGATGCGATATTTGATGAGGCTTTTACAGTGTGCTAAGATATGGAGTCTGCATCTTAAGATGTAAAGAAATTGCCGGAGATGCTGGGGGAGGATGCGTCCTATGCAGCCCACGAGCTAAAGGGCGTCACTGTAAACAAGCTACCTTAAAAAAATATCTGGCAAAACATTCGTGCCGTCGTCTTCGTCTTCCTCCGCTTATCCGGGTCCGGGTCGCGGGGGCAGCATCCCAACTAGGGAGCTCCAGGCCGTCCTCTCCCCGGCCTTGTCCACCAGCTCCTCCGGCAGGACCCCAAGGCGTTCCCGGACCAGATTGGAGATGTAACCTCTCCAACGTGTCCTGGGTCGACCCGGGGGCCTTCTGCCGGCAGGACATGCCCGAAACACCTCCCCGGGGAGGCGTCCAGGAGGCATCCTGACCAGATGCCCAAACCACCTCAACTGGCTCCTTTCGATCCGGAGGAGCAGCGGTTCTACTCCGAGTCCCTCCCGAATGTCCGAGCTCCTCACCCTATCTCTAAGGCTGAGCCCGGCCACCCTACGGAGGAAACTCATTTCGGCCGCTTGTATCCGCAATCTCGTTCTTTCGGTCATTACCCAAAGCTCATGACCATAGGTGAGGATTGCCAGTTTGCATTTGTGCCAGTTTCAGATATAATGGACTGCAGCAGAGTGCACGCTTGCTTCTGGTCTTTGTCACAAATGTGGAAGTAGGGGTCAGATTAAAATGGTCTGCGGATCCATTTGGGTGCCTCAGAAAGGACAGAAGGGGTGCAAAAGTCAAAAGGCCAAGAAGCAAGCACCTGATAAAGGAGGAAGAATGGATTTGCTTATAAGGGAAGAGGAGAGTGACACTGAGGACACAAGTGGGAAATAAGACTATTATAACATGCCCTAAAACCTTCCCAAAGTGACTCCCATCACTCACAAGATGAAAACGAACAGAGTATAGGGGACTTTTGAAGTGGACACAGGCAGTGGGGTGACCATATTAAGCAAAACAGCAATACACAACTATGGAACAAAATGGCCATGTCAGAATTACGCCCATGCACACTGAAGTTAAAAAACATACATGGGAGAGCACCCAAGTGTCCTAACCCAGGTGACACAGGTGCAGGTGTAAAGCGGAAGCACAAAAGCACGACTTCCTGTGCGGACGAAGGAAGACACAGGTCCAAACGTGTTGGGGTGCTGCTGGCTACAGCAACTGGCTATAATGGATCAAGTATTCTATCAGATTGGCCCTGAATCCACAAAGCACCAGACAAAAGTGTTGGACATTAGATTAGGAAAGCTGGAGACATGAAAGCCTAGCTCTGTGTGGACACAGAATCCCAACCACCTTTTAATAAACCACAACCAAAAAGATGAATTATTTTGTTCTCCAAACAAGAACATCCACAGAAGTTAGAGGGAGTTGTGGAGAAGCAGAAAAAGGGAGGATTGAAGTTTAAAAGAAGCAAGTGTGAGTTCATTGACCAGTAAGTGGCACGTTTGGGATACAAAATAAATGCAACGGGGTTATATTCTAAGAAAGAGAAAATAAAAACCATTGCAAAGGTTCCAGCCCCATTAAAAGTCACAGAGTCAAAAGCCTGTGTAGCATTTCAAACTGTCATGTTTTTCACCAAAATGACCAGAAGTTAACTTTTAACTTACTACAGGCCAAACTTCTTCATACTGGTCAGTCTGACACTGTGGTGAAGAGATGAACTTGAGCGGATATTCTTAACTTATTCTGCATACATCACGAGTCCTCAAGGCTGCAAGACGCAGGACTTCTTATTTATCCCCTTTGAACAAAGTCTTTCTTCTTTGGCTCACATAAATGACTTTAAAACTTCATTTAGTCATATTTTGTTGAATGAACAATGTGTTTAAATCCAAAGTGTTTGAATAATGTGTCCTATACTCTACATTAATGAATGATGGGATAAAATGAATATTTTCCTGTAATGATTTATTTCAGATCCTAAATTACAGCAAATTATTATTTGTGTATTTTAAGAATTCAATTTATCAGTATATTCACACCTCATAATGTTATTATTAATGAGGGCTGCACGATATCAGGAAAACCTGCGATATTGGATAACTTTGCTTAATATTGCGATATCGATATTACTCACGATAAATGAACAAATACTACAGTATGCAGTGTTGATGTCATCTGGCGTGTGACATCACGTAGGGGGCGGGCGTATTACGTGAACGGACCCATCTGATTGGCCGCAAATCAGAAGGGCTACATTTGATTGGTCAAATAATACTTCAGCGTAAAAAACAGAGCTGGTTTACAAAAAGGTGATGTATGACACGGATGGAAATGTTTGAACCAAACATTTATCGCCGTTTTTGACGTGCTTTGCGATGGGCCTATCGCACGTCCTGTTATCGAGATGACGATAATTTTACGATATATTGTGCAGCCCTATTATTAATGTTTAACAATTTAACTTCACACTAAGAAATTACCTCTAAACCTCATTGATCGCCAACTGCCTGAGGTCAAAAGTGACTACTCCCTCCTATGCAAAGCTATGAAGGAGGAACTCTGAGGTACAGCAAGTTTTAAACTTGCCATGTCAGTCAAACATCTTCCCTCAGAAGATGCACGTGTTCTGCTTCCGCATCTTCCATGGTTTCTTTGGTCATCGAAATGAACCAGGTATGGAAGAAAATGGTGGCTTTAAGGAACTTTTTCTTGAGAACCTTCATCCTTCCATAGGTGTGCAAATGAACGCCATTGATATTTGAGAAACTACCATGATACAGCTCAGAAAAATGACAGGTGTAAGAGTTTAATTTACATCTATTTAACGAACCATAAGACATGAGATTCCATAGTAAGTATATGAAATCAACCTTATGGATCTTTGGGTACTTTTAACCAGAAGAATGGAACTTTTTATTGCAGGGATTATGTAACACTTTGTATTAACTGAGAGACAACAGAAGAGTGTTACCTTTAAAACGTTTAAGATTTATTTTTAAACAATTTTAAACAAGACTAACTCTAAATTCTAAGTGAATGGATGGATCTTGGTGTGAATGAGACGTGAGATGAATGTATGTGTGAGTGATGTTTGTCATCAGAACTCTCGTATCCGGAGAAGCAAGTCTGAATGATGTTGTGATGTTTTGCTCTTAAGCTATGATTGGAGTTTCACAAACACATGAGGCGCCATCTTGTCGTTCCACACATACCCTTCAGGATGAGACCTCCGTACAGATCCAGAATGCCAGGTCCTCGGACGACCCCCCCCCCCCCCCCCCCCCTTCAGCCGATGAAACAGCGTCAGCAGTACGACAGACTAGTCTTTGGATTGTCTCCAGGTAAAAAGCGACAGTTGGTTGACAGCGTCAGATGGACCTGGAGGGTCAGTGAGTTCAGCTTTTATTCTGAAAGGAACCGTTGCTTGGTTGGTAAAATGCAACAGATTTTATCCAGCTTGTTGCTTCTTTGCTTGAAAAGGAAGTCCGGGTGGCCGGTCCGATACTTCTCTTAGAAGGCGGTGAACTGCAGTGAACTGTAGAGAACTCAGAGAACTGAACTAAGATGGCGTGGGGACTGGTTTTATTAATCTGGATGTTTTGATTTATGGTCGAATCAACGTTGGCAGATTTAGAAACACCACAGAGACTATGCCACGCTTCAGAAAGGAAGGCTCTGATTGGATGAGTAAAAGCAATGTGTCATGCGTTTACATTACGTGTAGTCAGAATGTCTAGTGCAGCTAGATTAATGTCATATTACTCATTGAAACTTACTAATCATAACATTGTATTTCACAGATTGATCAGCATCTTATTATTGACAAACACTTTGTTTGATTAGCTTTATTAAAAATAGAGTTCTTTGATTTATTAAAAAGAAAGAGTCCTTTGTCTTCATTCTTCTCTTGGGCTGGAAAGGAAAAGTTTTAGAAGCAAATGCATGACATTGAGCAATATCTCATGCAGATTAGTTCTTGCTGAGGAGAGAGGGAAAATTACTTTTAGGTGGAAAACAGTCATTTCATTCCATTACACAGCAGAAAAATTGCTAGCTGTACTCTCATTAAGAAATCGAGAACTAACCAGATGGCGAGCAGGAGGTGGGGACACAGAGACTGACAAGTTAAAGAAAATTTAATGCTGATCTGAAACATAAACGTCCTCAGGACAAACACTGTCAGCATTTAGACTCAGGGTAAAAACAAGGTCTAGAGTGTGCCCTCTGGTGTGTGTGTGGTAATGTTTCCAGAAGGACTGGTCAGTGCATCGCTGACCCTGCGTCCTCTACAGGTCTGTCTTCCCACACCAAGACCTCTCTTTTGGTCCCAAGACAACCACCTGAGACCAAGGCTCAAAACGCTGTGACACAAGCATCTCCAAAGTCACAGTTCATAAAGCAGAATCTGGGGTTAAAGTATCTGAAACCTTCTCAGTTCAAACACGCCCCCTCTGCTAAAGATTCAGTGAGTACTAAAAGGAGCACAAGTTCTGCACGTTGGTGATCATGGATGGAGATTCAAAGGGGG